AATCAGCATGATTCAGAAGCAATGTAATGCACAGAGGAAATACAAATAGTTTCATGACTTGGGCTTGAAACGAGGAACATCAAATGAAAACAAGTCTTTCTATATTTGAAGGTTCCTAGTGACTTTGGTGACTGTCACGCTTTGCATAAAATTTCTGAAATTTTCTAAGCATTTGAGTAAGTACGCCCCTATCGTGTGCACTCGCGACTCATGGCTGCCTTATATTTATTTTGAAGCAGCTGCGTCAGAAATGAAACAATAGCTATAACCACTATAACACTGCAAAATCTTGAAGACAACTGCCGTCAGGAATGTAAAAGGCGATTATTTATTAAGCTTTTATTTATCTTTTAAAACGATAGATTATGATATATAAATATTTCCTAAAATATATTCAATGATTTATTAATAAAATGACAACTGTCAGGGAAGAACAGTGAAAGTTGAGTTGCAAACTAGCAACTTTTTACGTCATTTGGTCTTTTCACTCACGCTGTCAACAAAAACACTGCCAGAAGAGCAAATTCACTCGCAGGCACGGTATATAGAATACTAGGTAACACCGGTTTGTCCGCTCAACACAGGGCCAATGGTGATCACTTTCTTCAGCTGACGTCTGTGACCTTGAGCTGACCTAGGATGATAAACAGCTGACAATTTAGGCCATTTGGAACTCACTTGACAGTTGAAGAGCGTGATTTAAAATATAAATGTTTGTCAGATACTGACAAAAGATATTATTCACCAGTCATTTTTTAAGCACATTCTGTCATAAATTAGCTGACTCCCTCTGGTCTTCCACACGGCAGAAAATTCAAGTGCAAATTCTGCAGTCTTGAAGTGAACCAAACGCTATGATACACATGGTCGTTTCTCTCAGAGCACAACGGGAACTGCGAGAAAACAAGAGAGAGTCGGACTCTACAAATGAATGAGTTTGGAAGAAAAATAGCTGTATTTTTTTCCTGTAAAAATGTTGACTTTGAAAACATTGGCCATCAACTTGAAAATTGCCCCCAAATCTGAAAATGTGTGAATCGACAAAACAGGCAATCTTGCTGTTTTTACCCAAGTTTGCTCATGATTGAGAGAGATTCGATGCGAAAATGCACTGATATATACTTCTGAAAGCGAGGTCTCGATCAGTGTATTAATTTTGATTTTTAACTTAACGCTTGTCCCACTTTTCCTCCCAAGAAAATATTGTTGTCAATTTTTCAATAATCCTTTTATGCGTCATTGCTTTAAAAATAAGGAGAGTCGGACCGTAATTCTTTCAAAATGACTGATCGTGCTCAATATCTATCGGAATATATCAACAGATTGGCCAAACTCATTGGCTAAATATGTTTAAATTGCATTTTTCTTACTTTCTGCAGATTTTCCTGCAAAATTTTACTGTAGTTTAAGCTGCGTTTCCTGCAGATTGTGTTCACAGACCAATGGGAGACAAGTATTTCTTCATCAACAGGTTCGTTCGCCATCAATTGGTCTAGCGGGTGTTTTTCGCATGCGCAGCTTATGTCACAGCTGCGTAAGAACACGTTCGCTTAAATCATTGTGGATATTGTGGCGGCGTGATTATCGTCATTAACTAGTTACTTGATATGAGATTTTAATGGGGAGTGGTGTAATGCCCGCACGATTGTTGACTTTCATTGTAATTGCCTGAGCTGGTTCCTGGGCCGCCTCAGATAGCAGGATGGTGTGTCGGGTGTGTCAAGTATCTTGACCTGACACTTGACAGGAAGGTGGGTACCCTGACCCCTAGCTCAATATTAATCTCAGATGAAGCCCGTATATATGTCTTAGAGCTTGTTTAAGTTTTAATCTCACCTACATATAACCTAACATAATCTGAAATCAAATAACCAGACATGCTAGAAGCCTAATTTTGGTCAAATGCAGATGAGCAGAAAAATATTGTTTTTTTACGATATTCCATGCCTACCTATGTCTTGACGAGGGTTTGTTGGTTACTGTGTAGATAAACTATGGTGAAGATAATAAACATCATCTACCTTAGCCTAACCTTGCGTGCTAACCTACACTACAACTTTTGGTAAATGCTCAGAAAGAGTGCGATTCACTTTTCAGGCATACATTTTGTACATTCTTACGCGCTATTCGACATCCTGAATCCAGATAGGTATGATGATGCAAATACAAAACAAAAATCAAACCTTACCTAACCCCATGTTGCATATTCATATCAACTGTAAATCAGATATTTTTGTGAACAAATATGCATCTTTCATCCTTTCAGCATACATACGACCTACTAAACAGCCTAGGTATCAACCTACCATTCATACTTTATCTACACATAGATGCATATTGATATGTGGGGTATGTTTTGTTCAGTAGGTTATAGTAGGTCGGGTGCCTACATGCTATCATTTGTCATGCGACATGCTTCGCTTTCAGGTGGTGTCTTGTGGGCTTTATAGTGGGCTTTGTGGCCCTCTCTAAGTGCAAGGGTTAAGTGTTGATGCACATAATGTAATGTGTTTTTTTCCATGGGCGGAGGAACCTCACGAAAGTGGGGGGGGGGGGGCAGAGAACTTCAATGTCACTTTGTGGGAACCCCAATACCCCTATGAACAAATTCTTTGCAGTTTTGTGCTCATCTCACCTTGTCGAACCATTTCTCACTCTTAGTGTTGACTTTAAATGAAAAATATTTTACTTTAAAAATTAGCTTAGCTGAAAAGTGCCCCCCCCCCCGCTCCTACGCCTATGTTTTTTTCCTTAATGGCACAAATCATCCAGATTCATATGAGAAGGGTAGGTAGCTAGCTACAAAACCAATGCCTCAATTGTTTATTGTTTTCTTACAATAAGTCCCTCCTCTGCCAATCGCACTAAACTATCTACTGTCACAATGCAGTGTGCGTCATGATTTCTCAACTCTGTGCATACAATATGTTTCCATTTGTCAATCACACATTGTTTTTTTTTTTACAGGCTGTCCGGTTATGACTGAGGCCGGCATCTCACCTGTCCTGGCTACGCCAAATCGCTGTGGATGCCGGATGCCGAGGACCGGAGAGCCAACCGCTTTGAGGCGTGAGCTCTGTGGCGTGACTCGAGTGATCACCAGGTTCTGACGGCTACGGCGCCGTCGACCTGGTTGAATAGCTGGGGCCTGAACGAGGGTGACCTCAGTACGGTGGCCAATCGGTTACGTCCGAGGGGCGCTCGAACACGCTGCCGTCGCGTGGCTGCCGGCGGCCGCCCCCTCGCATGTGGATCTCCTGGAGCGAGGACTGTGAGAGGCGGCCGCATCATCACCTGTGTCCGCGCTCAACACCGTGCCACGCACTAATGGCGGAAGCCCGACTTTCTCCGATGGAGGAGAGAAGCTGGACGCTGGCTGCCAGGCTGCTGGGGAGGGCGCTGGGTCTGCCATCAGGGGACCCCCTGCGCGCGACCGCCGAGGCCTCGGCACCGGCGCGCCTGTCTTCGGTCCGAGGCTGGAGATTGCGAGGCCGCCAGGCCTGGGCGAGAGCGAGAATCCCACCGTGGCAACAGACGACTGGCGTCACCTTCCGGTTGGACGTGTGCCCGATCCGGGCTGGGGCCACGGCGGCGGAAAGGGAAAGCGTGGCTACGCTGCACCTCGCGTCCCTGCCCCTGTGTGCTGTCGGGTTTTGGACGGACGGATCTGCGGAGGGCGGAGTCTTCAGGCGCTGGGTGGGAGCCGTGCTGGTCTGGCTGGACGAAGAGGCCGAGGAACTGCGGGCCCCGGCCGGAGAGCTGTGCTATGGCTACCGCGCGGAGATGATGGCGCTGGTGACCGGTCCGGAGACCCTACTCGGAAGAGACAGAGACCAGGACTTGCGTTCCGTACCTATCTGCTAACTGTGCGGTGGTGCTGGTGTAGTGCAGCATTTTTGGATGGATAGCTACATTTCACGATTAACTAGCTGTTACGTTTCAGTGCAGGTGGCGTGACGAACAATGTGGTATCTGTTGGCCACTTCTGCGGCCGCTGCTCCTACTCGAAGGCGGGCGCGCTGTTTGGCTGGGCCGGCAGGATGTTCCCATTATGTGTCGAGGACAAATCGTGTATATTCATGTTCTTTTAATGCACAGATGTCTGTTGTATATTTGTCTGAAGTTTTATTTTAAGTTGACGGTTGCGTAGGGCAGATTCATCTTCTCTCTTTCATTTTTGTTGCCACTTTAGCGTTCATGTTTGTTATGTGTCCTGGTCCGGCTTGGTTGTCATCGTTATTCGTGATGTATTTTATTTTACGAACATGCTGGTGATCAATGCAATACACTTTTGGTTAATAATGCTGCTTTAGCTCTGATCTTTTTTATTTAGGCCTCAATCCAACGGGCTCTGGTTGTCCCATTTACAGGAGGGCTCCTCCTCCCGGCCCTTTGTGGTATGTCTTGATTGTACGACTGCGATAGTGATTTTTCCTCACCAAAATATGCAGGTAACCAATGTAAATGCTGCCAAAAGTTTGTCATTACGTGATATGTCTAAAAAAACATCAAGTTCCTGAACGTGGTCGTGTACTACGTAACCGGAAACTCAATAGGACGTGGAATTCTGTGAAGCAAAACTACAGAAGCGAGGCTGGTCACGCCAAAATCAAGTGAGGTATGTCTAGCCTTTCTTCCGCCGCCAAGGCTTCGACAGACTATCCCCGGGTTCGGTGTCTCTCGAACTACGAAGATTCAACGTCGTCCGGCCAATCCTGGTTATTTAAGGTCAGCGGGGACTTAGCTGTGGTTATGGAACAGGATTGGCCGTCCGAGAGACTCCGAACCTGGGGTATGTTGCAGCACAGCTATGTCGACCGAGTGTCGTCGCAAGCTGCCCCACTCGACGAGAAAAAGTAAAACCGTCCCGTCCTAGGCTGACTAGGCTTAGCTAGGTGGCAGCACAGTCGCGCCGGCAGGGGGCAGTGCCACAACCAGCCGACTGACATTTTCGTGTGACGTCAGAAACGGTGCCTCCCTGCTCGCAGGGTGACCGCAGGTCATCGCATTGCAATAGATTTTTGCTAAGGGATTTTGCAACGTTCTGCACTGCATTGCTTTGTAGATAACGAGGCTGAGGCTGAATGGGGGAAAGCCGGGGATGGCCTGGGAAAATTGTAGCACTTGATCAGACCTGACTGTCTGAAAATGTCTGAAAATCTTAGGAAGACATTTGGCTTGGATTTTGATTTTGAAAAGTTTGTTGGGGACGATGACAGGTAAGCCGATTTCTTTTGATGAAAAAAGTGGCCTTCACTATGGAGCCCTTATTAAAAATCACAGCTGCAATTGCTCTTTTATATGGTGCCAGTGGTAACAGCTTCAATTCATTTTGTATTGATTCATTTTTATAAATTTATTATTTTTCGTGCTACTCTTTTGTGCTACTACTGGGACACTTTGTGGTCTGCTGCGTAGAAGATGTAGGTAGGTATTCCATGGAAAGATTGGTAGGTAATTATCTATCTCCAATCAGAAAGGCCTACGTGTTATATGTATTCAATGAAGTCGCATGGTTGTCTTCCAGTTACTAGTGCAATGCAATGACATTAAAAGCAAATGTGAAAAAAAATTCAAAGATGGTGTTGCTATGATTAGAGTGAAATCCCTCTTTTGCACCCTATGCTCACAAAAGGAGGAAATCACCATGATAGAAAATTACAAAGGAAAGATTTAAGGTGCTGTGAGCTATCAGTTCCTTCTTTAGGGTGTTTGGCTCTAGCATGACAGAACTAGTGGCTGATTTATGGTGGCTTTAATGTCTTTCAACCCCTTCAAACCAAACTTTTGGACATCATAAACATCCTTCTGTAACATGCCTATATATCCCTTGACCTTAGAAGGGAGTTAACTGTCACAAGCCATGCTCCCCATATTCCCCTTCCATCTTATTAAGAATCCAACTTAATGATTGTGTGATTAGATTATGAATATTTGGAAATAATAAATGTTCTAGGTAGTTGAGGCTCAGTTTATGAGCTAGCAGGGGTCTATGCAGTGCTCAAATGACAAATGGTGCTAATCTTATAAAGGAATGCTTTATTTTAAGACATTTGCGTCCAGACTGATCTAATCCTCTGACTGCTGACCCTGAGCTTTGTGAGTGGGTAGTGGTCATTGTCTGAATGTTTGTTATAGGCTCAATGCAGTACCTAGCATGTATCCATTGGCCCAAGCACCTGCTCCCTACCACCTGCAGAAGCTATCCCTGTCCATCAAATTGCCCTGACCTGTCCTGACCCTATCATGTCCCTACAGTCCACTGAGCTCATCTGCTCTGTCCACCAACCTGTCCTGATATCTGACCCTCCCTGCTCTGCTGAGGTCTGACCTCCCCTGCCCATTCTGACCCTCCTCTGTCCCCTCTGACCCTCCCCTGTCCCCTCTGACCCTGTCCTGTCCTTCTGGACCTTCCTGTCCCCTCTGACCCCCTTCTCTCCCCTCTGTCCCACTAGCCCTCTGTCTTTTCTGACCCTCCAATCTCTTCTGACTTTCCTGTTTCCTCTGACCCTCCCCTGTTCCTTCTGACTCTCATCTCCCCTCTAACCCTTCCTCTCCCCCTCTAGCCTTTCAATCCCCTGTCTTTTATGACCCTCCTGGCCTTCTGACCCTGCCATCTCCCTTCCGATCCCCTCCTGTCCTTATGACCCTTCATTTACAATCGGCGGCTGCCCCTCTGAGTTCTGACCCTCCCCTATCTCTTTGAATTGATTACTCCCTGTCTTTTTGACCCTCCCCTGTCCATCTGACACTCCCTTTCCCTACAGCCCACTGTGAAATACTTGCCCTGCTCAGCAGTTGGCTGACACTCCCCTGTACCCCCAGCGAGGGCGCAGATGGCGGAGAGGAGGACCCGACCGCTGGGCCAGATGCCACCTCCCCGGTGCCGGTACCCGGGCAGAGCTCCCCCGAGGACGAGGACCGGTTCGACTCCATGGGAATCTCGGCTGATCACGTGCTCGCCGAGTACATGGAAATGGCCAAAACGCCGCCGCGCGCCACGCGACGGCAGAAGGAGAAAAAAGCGTACAGGTGAGTACGACGCTGCGCATTCTTAGGCGCAGACCAGGTATGTACCCCTCATTCCTAGGTTCCTAGACTTTTTTTCGAAATGGTGCACCTTGGCCGCTGTTTTTAAGACACCTTTCATTGATTGACAACTGGAGGAGGACAATCTGGCTATCGGCTGAAATATAAAACTACTTATATGAAGTAGCTTTTCATTTATTTCGATTATTATTAACGTTTTTGCGCGCTTCCCCGCTTACAGCAGCGCTTGTAGCTTTGATTCCGGATGTTTGTCTTATCACATTGATTTGCGTCGATCAGTCTTAAGTGACTAACGGCGCCCGGAAATGCCGATAGTGACACTATCGAGTGACGAGTGGTGTCAGTGTGCTGAGTGCTGACATCTATCGCAACACACACTTTAAGGTTCACAAACATGTCAAAAGGTGTAGGTACGCCAGAGGGCCCGTTTACGTAAGGCCAGATGTGAGTTTGGTTGGTGAGTTTACTTGCTGAGATCTTGCTGGTCATGCGTCTGCTAAAAGTTACCGTTTTGTTTTTCCTGGTCATTGTGCGCGATTTACCGACATCTAGCCAGCGAGCTTCTCGTCAATGATTTATATTTTCCTCTCTCCATCGAGCTCGTCGAATCCATCGTAGTCCCACCGGACGGCGCATTCCAAACGAAACGTTGCTGATAGGTTCAGACATAGACTGCGCCATATCATAAATTACCCAGGACAGTCATGAATGATGGTCAAAATACACCGTGCCGAGTTTTAGCGGTCTCCGGCGGTCTTCTTCCGGTCTTTTCGACGAGTGCTCGGCGCCACCGCTGCAAGGCACGACAACTGCTCAGCGCAGGGGCGGCGCTTCCGCAACCAGTCTAGGCCTGTCAAGAACTCAACTGATTCAACATAAGAAAATTACCACGTAGCCATAGTGGGGGACGCAAAGATCGTGTAAGAAAGCGTAAAACTTGTCTGATCTGCTCATTGCTTACTATCAGGTGATCCGCTTTTTTCTCCGCTTACTGGTAGGTATTCCTCCCGCTCTGCCCGTCGCCCACTGATGTATCTCACTGGTCTGCCCGTCGCCCACTGAATATGTATCTATCGCTCTGGTCGCTTAATCTCCCACCAATATCTCTCGGCCGCCCGCTGATGTGTCTATCCGGTCTGCGTTACCGTCAGGAACCAGGCACAGGCGGCCAGTAAGAACCTGAAGGCCAGTCTGAAGCGGCGCTCGTCGATGGACCGCTACCTCTCACTGCCAGTGTTCATGGAGGGCTCCGACGAGCCGCCGGCAGAAGACACGGTGGACTGGCATAGAGGCGAGTCGGCGAGGGATAATGGGTGGTAATTTTTAGACGAATATGTGGTTCGGTGTTTTCGAAATGTGTTTGACTCATTCCCTTGATGCTATGTTCGCCAGACGTCTTGCGTTGCATGTTACCCTTCTTGTGCATGTTTCATTTCTCAAATCAGTAATTATCCACTTAAAATGAATTAGTGTTAGTCCACTAATAACCTGATAGAAACCACATTCAGCAATGGGTGCCCTTTGAAAACGGCTCCAGCCTTAGTTGCTCCCTTTAATGGCCTGCTCGTCTCCCTTGTTCGGTACTTTGTTCAACACTGACATGTTCTCGCCACATTTTCTCTCCTACGCTTTCCGTGGGTATAAGAAATTAACCGGCTAGCCGCGCAGCATAACCGATGAATGGCGCGCTGCTGAAAATGCTCTGGGAGCTGCATTTCTGTGATCGGTTCGCTGACTCTGGTCTAACCGGTGGTCTGACGGTGGTCTAATGACGTTGGTCTGACGGTGGTCTAATGGTGACCAGATGGTGGTCTGATGGTGGTCGGACGGTGATCTAACGGTGGTCTAACGGTGGTCGGACGATGGTTTGGCTGTGGTTTGACCGTGGTCCGACTGTGGCTTGTGTGACCGTGGTCTGTTTGACTGGTCTGGTGGTAGTCTGAACTCGTTCTGTGTTCTGACGACGCTGGTCTGAAGCGCGGTCTGTCTGTTGTCGGAAGGTGGTCTGACTGTGGCCATGGTCTGACAGTGGTGTGTGACTGTGCCTGTGGTCTGTGTCACTGTGGCCTAACGGTGGTGATCACCGTTACGAGATAAATTACGACAATTACAAAATGCAATTGTGTGGTCGTGGTCTAACTATGGTCTGTGTGCTCGCTGCTGGCAGACCGTCTGCCGTCTGCCGATATTTCCTCTGGCGGTGACGGTAAGCTGCGCGCCGCCAGCTTGCTTTGGGGTGGGTGGCCGGGGTGCGACCGAACGCTTCTCACAGCCACGGCTCGCCTGTTCTCAGTCTTTTACGCTCGGCACTATTTATCTTACACTAGCTCCGCACTTTGCCGCCGTGTTCTGTTGGCCGCCATTTTCATATCTTCTTCTATAAATAGTCGAGTTCCCCCGTACTTTTCCATAAATTTCGTTTCTGCTTGTTATTCGTCCACATACACACATTATCCAACCTTTCTCCATTTTTTTTTTCGAAGCGTTAGTGTGTAAGTCCTTTTACCTGGGTTTATTTTAAGTTGACTTTGCTTTGGTCACGCGTAACTCTCTTATTCATAGTAAACGCATGCCACTGACCCTGCTGTAATTGCCGGGGCCATGGCAGTTGGCACGCTCGCTGGCTGGTGCATGTGCGGCTGCGCGGATGTGGCTGCTGATATACCTTTCGGGGTTTACCCGCTTCAGAGTTGTTATTTTCGACAATGCCTGCTTTTGTAACCGCACACAGATTGCTTATCACGTGCTACTGGTGTTGCATGTCCGCTTATTCGTGGCAGTATTTGCTTCTATCGTGAATGCTATACCGCCGTTACTCCTTTAGAGGTCTAGCTTTTGGAGGGATATAATCCAGCAATGGCGAGATACATCCAGGAACATGAAAGTCACCTTCATAACATTAAAGGGCGAACCGTGAGACCCCGCTCTCCGTGTAAATGATATATCGGTCTAGTGCTGCCCTGTGCTATAGCCGGCCTGTGCAGACGTCCCCCTCGCTCTCCCCGCAGGCGGCGGCGAGGAGCGCTCGCGCCACTCGGACCAGCGGCGCCGGCACCGACAGCTGCAGCGGGAGAGACGCGCCGAGCGGCAGCACAAGCAGCGCGCCGCCGCCGGCGACTTCAAGTTCGTGGTGGGCGCGCCTGGCGCCGACGCCGACCCGGACGTCACCGATGACCACTGCGCCAGCATGAAGGTGACAAGGGCGGTATCGAGGCTGCCGACAGCGGGAGATGTTCACAGTTCAAGGATACGGTATCTGCATTTGATTACGCTGAGTAACTTGTTCGGCCTATGGAATTTGACGATCTTGGTTTGATATTTGTAGTTCACTACAGCTGTAGATTTTTTTTTTTTGCGAACATTAACGATGCTTTTCTACACAAGCAGTTTGGCTGCCAGCAGAGCTGTTATCGGGTCGGGATGCCTCGTGTTGCCAGCCTGCCATCCTGTAGGTACCAGATCTGACCGTTCGGTTGTGTTGTGCGGTCCCTCTCCAGGTGGAGATGAGCAGCTGTTTCCAGTCGCTCTCCTCGAAGCCGGTCAGTCAGATGGAGTCGCCGCGGCCCCCTCCGCGGCAGCGCGCGCCGTCGGCAGACAGAGCCGTCAGCCACCCGGCGGCCGGCGGAGAGCGGGTGTCGACCGGAGACGACCGGGTCGACTTCCACCGGCAGCTGGCCAGGCTTGTGCGGATGGGCAGCAGCGAGCACCTCTCCTCGGCGGAGCACCAGAGAAAGGTGAGCACCTCTCCTCGGCAGAGCACCAGAGAAAGGTGAGCACCTCTCCTCGGCAGAGCACCAGAGAAAGGTGAGCACCTCTGCTCGGCAGAGCACCAGAGAAAGGTATGTGTATGTATTTGTATGTATTTATTTGAACGCCCACAGGTATGACACCCATTTACAGACGCAGTCCGATACTAAAACCTATAAATACATGTGCTCATGGGTTGTCAAATATAGGTACGTATAGTCATGTCAGAGAGATTAAGAAGGCTCTAAGAGACTTCATAAAAGTTCCTCGACTGGCGAATAGGTCCGCAGATGCCACATGTTCGTACATGCCGTTCACTTGCCTCGGTAAGCGACAAAACATTCCGGCCCTTATCGTTTCCACCCTTGCGGTGGGTTCGTGCAGTATCGCCCGTCCTCGAGTCCGCCTACATGGAACACACAATCCAAACATCCCAACAATATCGGTGGACCTAATGCGACCAGAGAACACCGAATGAAGAAAAGTGAGATCGCGCTGCACCAACCTTGCCCGAATACAACTCACACCAAAATGAGACAGAAGCTGATGGTAATCGAGAGACTGAGATGGCCGTGTGGAATGAGTTGCCAGCCAGATGAGCATCTTATGCTGGATCCGTTCCAGACGCTGTATATGTGTTTTTGAGGCCCCAGCCCATACTATGCTACCGAATTCTATCACAGAGCGAACGTGGGCATTAAAAGCAGTGATAAGAGGCTCAGGTCGAAACCGTCTCCCCCTCGCAGCACGAGAGGTCTGCAGCGAGCGCAAGTACACGCCAAGCGCCCGGTTCGCACTCCTGACGACGCCGTCGACGTGAGGCCCAAAAGTTAATTTTGAGTCCATGAGCACACCCAGATCGCGCATCACAGATACACGATCTAAGGTGATCCCATGGATGGAGTAGTCGAAATGGACTGGTTTAGTGCGGAGAGTGAATGTAATCTGTTTACATTTTGTGGGATTCAATTGCAGCTTCCAAGTAGTTGACCATGTACAGAATTTATGTATATCGTTTTGAAGGGCGACAGCGTCATCAAGCGTGCGAACCGGGCGGAGCAGTTTCATGTCATCAGCATACATGAGGCACGACGAGTTCAGGTAAGATGGTAAATCGTTGCAGAATAAAATAAACAAGATCGGCCCACATATGCTGCCTTCCGGCACGCCCGACCCAACACGGGCCCAGCCAGACGTCTTCCCGTTGACCACCACTCGCTGCTCTCTCCCACAGAGGTAAGACTCAAACCACCGCAGGGCAGAACCGGAAAGATGATAGGAGTGACGAAGTTTGTGCAGGAGAAGAGAATGGTCAACGCTGGTAAAGGCAGAGGAGTAATCGGTGTAAATAACATCAGTCTGATGGCCCGAGGCGATAGCGTCCCACAACTGCTTGACGAGGCAGGTCAGGTTGGTCTCACAGGAGCGTCCGGCCAGGAACCCGTGCTGAGCCGGAGACAACACAGGGGCCACGTGTACAAGTAACTGGTCACACACTACTCGCTCGAGAAGTTTGGAGCAAATTGACAAAAGTGACACAGGGCGGTAATTGGCCGGGTCTTTCCTGTCACCTTTCTTAAAAATCGGCACCACATTAGCCCGTTTCCAGACCAAGGGGAACTTTCCCTGGGCAAAAGACAAAGTACAGAGCTTGGTTAATGGCACTGAAAATTCGTCTGCACACTCTGATAAAATTCGTGCACTAAGACCGTCCGGCCCGCATGCCTTGTGTACGTCTAATGATAAAAGAATACCGCGCACCGTCTCATGGATCACAGTAAAACGATCGAGATTGTCAATGTCATACGATACACAGTCGGGGAATACATGCACACGCGGGTCAGAAAATTTGGCAGCGAATGACCGGCTAAAACATTCAGCACGCTCAGTGTCGTCAGTCACGATGCGACCGTCACATTTCAAGGCCGGTACACCACGCCCTGCGTACTTGATGGACTTAAGAAGCGACCAAAAACGTTTCGAGTTACTTTTAAAATCGTCCACTAAGTGTAAAATATTCTGCCTGTACTTCGACGAGACGATACTTTTGAAGCGCGCCCTGCGATCGGAAAAAAGTGCTAAATTGTCCGCTGTGGGCGCCCTTTTTCTTCTGGCGGTGGGCGGACTCCTTCTCACGCAGAGCACGTTTAACATCGGAGTCAACCAGGGCGGGAACTTAGCTTTCAATGTCACTGTCGGAACAAAATCAGCAACAGCTGCCTCTACCCACTGATAAAATAGCCCTGCAGCGTCATCCACATCCATGTCATCCAACACGTTCCATGGTAAAAGACGCAAACATTCCTTTAGTCCAGGGAAGTCCGCTCGGCGATAGTTGAGCGCCGTGCTACGGGTAACACGTACAGGAGTCTGACGTGGGATAGAGAGTGTTACTACGGTCTGCATGTGGTCTGACTCAAACAGACCAGCATCCACCTCGCACTCACAAAGGTGAGCAGCGAGCGCCAGAAGAAGGTGAGCACTCCCTCCCAGGCAACAGAAAGCGCACGAAATGTAATGCAATTGCGTTGAATACAAGTAGTGTATGAATTATGTCGTGCCCAAGTGCTGAGTGTGACCGTCGTCTCTGCTGTCCTCCAGCGCTCCCGGGAGGACGTGCGCTACCAGAGCGAGCTCCAGGACGTGCTGTGGCTGGCGCTGCAGGCCTACCTCAGCGGCGACACCATGCACGCCACCGACCAGGCGCTGTGTCTGCAGCGCGCCCAGCTGCCGGCGCTGGTGCAGCGCGTGCTGGCGTTCCGGTTCGAGCGGCAGCCGGCGGCCGGCGCCGAGCCGCGCTGTGATGGTTGCCTGGACGTCTGGTGCCGCACCTGTCTGGACGCTCAGCGGCGCGCGCTCAGCGAGGTGTCCACCCTGATGGAGGCCGTGGACGGCGCCGAGCGCCTCTACCCGTCCGGAAAGAAACTGCGCGAGCAGCAGCCGGCCTTCTGCGACCCCGAGTTCCGGCGCCGGCTGAAGACGCTGTTTGTGTGGCACAACCTGACCAGTCAGCTGTGGATGCGGATGCGTATAATCCGTCAGTACCTGAAGGGCATGGGTGCCGGTCACCTGCCGTGGCCCGAACTGGAACCGACCCAGTCGCCGCCGGCTCCCAGTCCCAGCGACAGTGTCAGCAGCCGCGAGCACCCGCCGCCGGCTGCCGGGCGGGAGGTGTTCTCACCTCCCCAGGACCGGCCGCCGCCGGCAGCCGCCCCGGTCCCCCCGCCGCGGGTGAAATTCGAACTGAGCGTCTCCGAGTCCTCTGCCAGCGCCAACCCGTCCGACTCGAGCAGCAGCAACACGTCGGAGGGCCGCGCCATGGAGCGCGAGCCGGCGGCGGCGCCGCTGCACTGGTCCGTCAGCTCGACCTCCGTCTGCTCCGCCTCCGAGACCACCGCCGACGGAGACAGCAAGACGCCCTACCGACGCTGCGTCGAGAAACTGCTCAAAACCAAGGGCCTGAAGAAGACCATCACCAAGCTGATCAGCCACCTGGGCAGCGCGCTGAACCAGACTCAGGCGGCGCTGCTGCCGCCGGAGGAGCAGCGCGGCGGCGGCTCGCCCGGCGCCGGCGAGGTGCTCACCAGCGGCGACGCCTCCTCGCTGGGTCTGGACGACCACACGGCCGCCGAGCTGCGCGAGTTCGGCGAGGGCTCCGTCACGGCCGCCCAGCTGGCGCTGCCCTCCTTTAAGGCCGTCTACGTGTGGCTCAGCCTGGTGCCGCTAGAGGTCACCCACGAGTGCGTCAAAATCCGCCTGCAGCAGCAGCCCAAGGAGCCGTCTCCGCTCAGCATTAGACAGGTCAGTCGCCGCCACCGTCACCGGACGATTCGGACCGGTCACGGCTCAGTCACCGACGGGTCACTATTACAACCATGATGTTTTGGTGCAGGTGCTAGTCAGTCGACTGTCGTGGTTTCCTGCGGCGTTTTTGTTGACTGCTCAAAATGCGGTATAAGCGTAAAACATTCGTAGTAGTGGGCTGAGACAAACTTGTTATATTGTGTAGTGAGGCGCTGACCCTGTCCGCCCCGTTCCCAGCTGATAGCCGAGTGTAAGGAGGCGCTGAAGGCGGCCGTGCTCGTGCGCGGCGTGTTCGTGCGCCGGATGCGCGCCATCCGACCGCAGGCCGGGGCAGAGCGCTGCGTGGCTAGACTCGACCAGGCCGTGGAGACGTTCGACGCCGACGTCAAGGAAATGCTCGAGGTATCGTAGCTAACAGGAATAATTATCAACCCCTTGCATATCTTTGTCGGCTTTTTTCTTACCTGTCCTTGTTACTGCATTGTACTGAAAATATTGTTGGTGATTTTATGGTATTCAATGCCAGTTGTGTCGCTCTATTCCATTATGACTCAGTTGATGAAAGCCGTAGGCATGCTTTTAGAAACTGAGCCATACGTCATACGTCGTCGTCATATTCAATCGTCGTTCTTTTCTGAAGTCTCCTTATCCCTGGGCTCTATCGAGACAACACCTTCCATTCCGCTTTGACCGGTCCGTCCGTGCTCAGGTGTACCTGCGCTACATCAAGCAGCTGCTGCTGATGATGCAGGGCGAGATCGAGGTATCGGCCGCCCAGAAGAGCCTGCTGGAGGAGGAGTGGACGCTCTGCAAACACATCTGTCCGCACATCGCCGGCGGAGAGGCCATCGCCGGCAGAAACTTCTGGTGAGCACTGCTGACGCCGTCAGGGGCGCTAATATCGGGACATTGATACTGCCTCATTGTAAGGTGACGGCTGGCGCTATATACTGCGATCTGTGACTGTGTCGCAAAAGCCTGTACCGTGGTCAATGATTTGTGCATTGTGTTCGGCGGCTTTGTCTGTGCCGGGGCCTGTGATTTCTGTGTTTTGCTCGGCAGTTTCGTCTGCGCGATGATCTGAGGTCTCTGTATTTCTTTCGGCAGTTTTCTAGTGAGCGACATCCTGCCGACGATCGGAGACCTGTTGGAGAACGGCATAGACGCGTGCATCGCCAGTCTGCAGCGGTCTTCGAGCGGTGACGGCGGCCGAGAGCCGCTCTACGGCAGCAGGTGAGCTGGCTTGGAGCGTGAACCCCTGTCCCGTCCCCGTACCCGAGTCCGACTCGCTCCGATCCCGTCCCAGACGGTGCCGGGCATGGTTGGGGACCTGGGTATTTATCACATAATACAATATAGTGTGAGACCACGAATAGGGTGTAAATTGCTCATCATGGTTATCCGGTGTGTAAATTGCTCATCATAGTTATTCGCAGCCAAATATGTGTTCTACCACAGACTTCTTTATCTATAGAGAAGTATATATAGAGAAGTCTGTGGTTCTACAAAGCGATGCCGTCCATGTTGGAATGGAATATACCTTTCCGGCCAGTGGTGGATTAGCGTGGTTCGGCCCCTCTCCATGACAAGTCGCTTACTTACGTCCCTCTCCCTCATCTCCCTCTCCGACGGGTCATCCTCTGACCCGCCTGCCCCCCTCTCCCCGACAGATCATCATCTGACGCCCGTCCCCCTCTCCGTCCGCCAGGTCGTCCACGCTGAACACGCTCCGGGAGTTCCGGGTCCTGTTCCAGGAGGCTCAGGACCGCGCGCTCAAGGTGCTGCTGTTCGCCAAACTGCTGCGCCGAGATCTGGAGATCGCCGCCGAGTTCTCGATACAGTGCGGCGCGCAGGCCATTCTGGACCGGCTGGCCGAGACGGGTCACGTGCGCGTCATAGCGCCGCACAGCCAGGACCACATCATCTTTATACCAGGTACGGCAACGGCGTGGTCGGGCCGAGATAGACAGCGAATAGTCACTGAATTAAAATGGGCTTTGACCATAACATTGTGCTATTGCACCAGCTTTATGCATGCAGTTTATAAGCAGTTTTGTTTCCTCTTATTTTTGGGAGTATCTATATGGGGCGGCAGTTCGTTACTACCGTCTGCCGAGCTGCCCATAGTCGCCTAGTTACTGCCGCCTTCCGTGCAGCCGGGTGTTCACTAAAAATTGAGACAAAGTTTAGCAGGCTGTATCTTCGGTAAAAATGTACCGATTTAAACAAACGAGGCATTGTTGTAATGCACATTGCATCTGCTGCAAGCCGTAGAGCGTCAACAGATTTGCCTGATCCCTGTAGGTCATTTTTTGGACATTTCCTTGGAAGTGTTGTCACAAGCTCTGGCACCAGTGGACCGTGATGTTGGCCAGTTGATGGTGGTAATGAGCAACCAGTTGATATTTTGTATGAAATCGAAAGACACCAACATACGTTATAGCTTTAGGCAAATCACATTTGATACTCATTTGTTACATTTCAGGCGTGGAAAATGGCTTATCGGGTCTCGTTCCAATGGGAATTTTTTACATCGGCCGGGGCCCTCAAGGCGCCCCTTGGTTAGTGTGCTGGCGCGAGGTCGGACCAGAAAATCACCTTCTGGTTACATATGTTGTTCTGCATGAACCTCTAGTGCTTAATAATACACTTGGCTCAAAAAGTATCATATTGTAAAGGACCAGTCTGGAGGAATAAAGTCGAACTGTGATGATATTCTCTGAAATAACACATACACCACGGCATCCAGCGTTAGCTTGCATGCTGACACTTAAATGGACGTTAGCCCTTGTATCATCGATCACATCACAACAGAACACTCCATTGTATAATTAATTGTCGCCCTTTAACTAAAAACATGATTTTTCTACCTTAAATAGTTCAACCTTTTTTCTGCATTTTTTGTCCCTTTTTGACCATAGCATATTTACTTATCTGGCCTTATGTTGTTCCCAGTCGCTTCGAGAAGTCATTTGCGCCGGTTGTAACTCGGCCTAGTCTCAGGTGTGATATATCTTCTTCGCTTAGGCACAGTTAATACCTTACTGATCAGCAGCATTGCGCCGTGAGGTGTCAAAAAGCCCCTCCACGTGCATTTTTGGGGCCCCGGCCCTTCCTCAGGTCATTATCTTCACAATTATACCACTTCAGCTTTTCGGACTCCCACACCCTCTAGAACTTTCGTCCCACTGTACGGTATGTGACTAATTTTGACATTTTAAGTTTTCATTAGGTATTTGTACGTGCCAAACTCTCCCATCGACGTGCTATTTTGGGAATGCCTGCCAATGGGCTTTTGGTAGTCCTTGTTTAAAACGACCTCCAACGCCACTGTTTTCATTACATCCGTGAAATTTTATGCTCGATATGATAAAAACGTCCCTTTTATGTCTATGCTAAGTTGCATCGTAATAGCTTGCTTCACTTTTGATATGCAGCCATTCAAAGTTTGTGTCAATTTTTAGTGAACACCCTATGTTTTAGACATTATTCTTACTTATGTCTGTCGGTGTGTTTCAGGCAGTATCTGTATGTTGTGTTTCCGGTTCAGGCAGTATCTGTATGTTGTGTTTCCGTTCCAGGCTGTATCTGTATGTTGTGTTTCCGTTCCAGGCAGTATCTGTATGGAGCGGCAGTACGTGTGGCAGCTGCTGGACATGACGCTCAGCCGGCAGGACAGCCGGCGGCCGGTCGACGTCGGCTACCTGGTGCTGATGGCCTGTGACGACTGCGGGGATGTGGAACAGCTGTGGCGCGGCACCACCATCCACCTGGAGCCCACCGCAGAGACCACCATCACTCTCAGCTACGTGGAGGTACGGTAACACCATCAGACCACCATCACTCTCAGCTACGTGGAGGTAAGATAACACAATCACACTCAGCTACATGTAGGTAGGTACGGGACCACCATCACACTCAGCTACGCAGAGGTAGGCGACCCGACCACATTTCGACACAGATGGAGGAACGTATCTACTGACACCGCCGGGAGGGTATTGAGCCTGTGTCCTGTGCTAGAGCTTTGCCTGTGCATTTCGATGCTGAAAAGTACGTTCGAATGTACTATTTGCCTCATTGCTCACCAGAATAGTTTGTGTACCCTTTATCACTGCCTTCCTCATAATATCACAGCCTGGAGTGTATTGAATTGTGTTTCCCCTTTATCACCAGGTGAAGGGTCTTCTGTTGGTGGTGAACAACACTAGTCACCTGGCGCGCGCCCGCGAGCCGTTCCAGCGGGCTATGGGCGCCTGTCTGACTCTGGAGAGGGACGAGACGCCGCCCAACCGAGCCATCACCGACGCTCTCGAGGAGCTCAAGGTAGGCTGCAGGCCGATCCAAATTTGTGGGTGCGTGCGTGCGTGTCAATATATGCGCTTTCCGTCTTGTTTTTCCTTTGTCCTTTCATTTTGTTTTGATGTGTGATGTGTCTCTTTTGCTTGGGTGTTTGTTCGATACTCTCTGATAGTCGGTATGTTTGTCCATCTATCTGTTGTTGACTGGCTGTCTGGTGTCTACCCACCCCGTCCCGCCCGTCTGTTTACCGTCAGGAGGAGGCTCTAAAACTGCGTCTGGTGGTGGCTGACAGTGTCGCGCTCGTCGAGGAAAAGTGCTCAGCGATCCTGGCCGACCCGGGCGCCACCTCCCTGGCCGCCCGCTGCCGCGAGGTGGTCCAGCAGTGCTTCAAGTTCGCGTTCGAGTACCACCGCGAGCTGGTGCGCCTGATCACGGGCTCGCGCCGGCCCGAGGTGGCGCCGGCGCTCATCTCCGTGGCGCGCCAGTGGATGCGCTACGTGGTGGAGTACTGCCCGCGCGGCCAGGGGCTGCGGCCGCGCTGGGCCAAGGACGGGTTCGACTTCGTCAGTCTGTGCACCGAGCCGCAGCACACGCTGCACCTGGAGGAGGAGGAGTTCAAGACGCTCCAGCGCGAGGTCACCCACTGCATGCGGCACATCAAGGGCCTGGCCTGGTCGGTGTCGTCCTCTCCGCTGGGCACCGCCGCCGCCGCCGCCGCCGCCGCCGTCGGCTCCCGCTCATCGTCTCCGTCCGACCCGAGCCGGCCGCTGTACCGGTCGTCGCGCTCGCTGCCGCCGCCGGGCGAGACGCCGCGGCCCGACGCACGGACGGCGGTCGGAGTGCCGGCGGAGCTGCACTCGCCGACGGCCAGCCGGCGGGACTCCGCCGACCGGCCGCTGGGGTGAGCGGGGCGCCCGGCGTGTGATGGCCGGCCGGGGACGGACGGAGGGAGGGCTCAACAGAAAATAGTAGAATAGCATTGCAGAATAACATTCCCCAATAATTACGAATACCCGTAGGATAGCATTGTAACGTGTCACAATGGCATCGACGATTCCAGTGTAACAATGTGACAGATTCGTGCGTTGTCTCTCATCTAACTTGACTGATGTATGTCCCCAGCGAGCTGGGCAGCCCGGTGGGGTCGGCGCCCAGTCTGACGCCCGGCTCCCCGGTCGTGTCTCGCGCGGCCGGCCTGGGACACCGGACCGGCTCTGTGTCTCCTAGTCGACTGTCTCTGGATGGTAAGTGACATGCGCACTGATAAACCGCTCACCGATCCACCGCACTGTATTGTGACCGCTGCGTCTTTCTAACTGGTCGGATGTGTGCGTAATCGGTTCGCTGAGTTTGTCTGTGTGTATGACCAATCCGTGGGCCTCATAATGTGACCGGTCTGTCACGTCTATCCCAGGTCTGTCTCTAGTCAGTCCTCTAGAGCGCGCCCGTCCTCCCTGTGTACCAGGTATGTCTGTTCACTAATCTCTGTGTGCCTGACCCGTCCTCTGTCGTTGCCAGGTCTATCTCTAGTCAGTCCTCTGGAGCGCGCCCGTCTGGCCGTGCTGGAGCTGGACGAGCGGCGGGACGAGGCGCTCCGCGACCACCGGCGCATCGGACACGTCAGCGAGCGGCGCGCCGACCGCGTGCACATCAAGGCCAAGACTGTCGGCTTCACCTGGCAGATGGGCTTCCTCATTGGTGAGTGGCTGTGCTCTGCGGACTGGCAGACAGGCGGCGGCAGTAATTAGTGGGTCCATCTACTGCCCGGTGGGCCCTTTCCATGCCGAAGTTGGTACTCCATACTCAGTTGACAGTGTTGTTCATATTGCACTGCGCGCGGATGCTTTTATTTCGTTCTTTTTTTTCGAGCCTTTTCACTTCTTCATTAATTGTCATTTTTAGTCCTATGAATCTAAAATGGGAGATACATTGTAATTTAGAAAACGGCCATTCCTGTCGATATTCGCCTCGATTAGTAGGTCCATCGAATAGGAGAAGCAACCAGAGACGGTGTTTTCTTGAGCACCACGGTCGAAGTTAATTTGGCGGAGCTGCACGTATTTGGTTACATTCAGCCGGGTCCATTCGATGCAATATTTATGTTGAAGAAGCGATGCGATTTTTTGTCGGTTTGTATTAGTAAATATTACGATAAAAACATGTCCAGATCATTTCACTGGTAAGCTCGCTGACTTGCGAACATACTGTGGCGAGCATGGCCATTCATCTGGCAGTATTGAAGCTCGATACCTTTCCAAAGCTATTCGCGTCACCACTTTTGCGTGTGACAATGCCTATCCCCGTTGCCAGCAGGTTCTGACAGCATTCCTCGCCGCCGCCAGGCTCCGCACTTACCGACGGTTTTCGCGCTCAATATCTTTAACACTGACTCAATCTTACACAGTGCCGCATTAAAAGTACAAAATTTGGCATAGAAATTAAATTATCGTTGACACATACGTACAGCACGCTGTTTAATCTAGTTGTGGATGCCAAATTACACAACTGCTTTGGACTAAATTAAGGCTGTGCTGTGGAACATTGACAGCTTCTGTCGTCGTCCGTCTTCCCGGACGAGGACGTATGAAGCGGCCTCTGCCCCCGTCGCCCGCCCCTCGGTGAGGTGAGCAGCGCCGACTCGGTATCTGTTCAGGGCCCGGCGCGGCGCCCCCGCCGGCGTCTCTGGCGGCGCCGCCGGCCGCGGCCGCGCACCGTCTGCGTGCCCAGGCGCCGCTGGGCGGCCGTCTTCCCGTCCTCGGCGGCTCGGCCGGCCCCTGCTGCGGGAGACTGGGTCAGACTCGATACTGCTGCGGGAGACTGGGTCAGACTGCTGCGGGAGACTCGGTCAGACTCGGTACTGCTGCAGGAGACTGGGTCAGACTCGGTACTGCTGCAGGAGACTGGGTCAGACTCGGTACTGCTGCGGGAGACTAGGTCAGACTCGGTACTGCTGCGGGAGACTAGGTCAGACTCGGTACTGCTGCGGGAGACTCGGTCAGACTCGGTACTGCTGCGGGAGACTCGGTCAGACTCGGTACTGCTGCGGGAGACTGGGTCAGACTGCTGGGGGAGACTGGGTCAGACGGGGCACGGACTCACACTCACCCACTGAATACTGATACTGCTCGTACGAATGTAAACGGCAGCATATGTAGAGACTTGGATCGGATATTGAGAACAACGCAATATTCCAACGAAGTCAAACATTTAAAAATGCATGTTCCACCAGCCGATACTGCTTCATTGTTACTCATGCAGTTATGGTTCAAAAAGTAAATGCGAACGCTAGAAGGAAGATGAAGATTGAAGATGAAATTGAAACGAAGAATTAGAAAATGCAACAAAAGCTGTCTAGTCATTCATCTTTTATGTTCGTGCATCTTTTATGTGCCCCATGTATGTTATGTGACTGCAGCCGTAAGTGGGCCTGGAGCCTGTGGTTGTTTCGTGCGTAATAAACTAATAAGCGTCATAAACCACACAAGTAATCCGCATGTAGTTTGACTGAGCCACGCGAGTGAGAGTGGCTCAATTTCTATTCCGTTCCGGGTCTGTGCGCTCAGTTGTGTCACGCTGACCCACATCCCTGGCTCTCGTCCCCCTGTCAGCCGTCCCCGCTCCGTCCCCGTCCTTACGTCTGCGCCCTTTGGCGGCGGCCGCGGCGGCTCGCTCGGCGTGGTCGGCCGGCCGGACCATCATCTGTGTGCGGTACAGCGAGTACAGCGGGCCGCGCCAGTCGTACCAGTACGCCACCTGGTACTCGTACTCGCTCGGTACCGGCCCGCTCAGGTACAGGCCGTTCAGGTTACTGCGGGACCAGCGGGTGATGGTTAGAACACGGTCACAGAAGTCAGCCAGACTGAGCAGCAGCGTCCACATAAACAGTAACTGAAGATTGGTTCGGTTTACTTCTCTATGAATCATCCTACACATTTACTGTGCTAATTACGGCCAGGAGAGATGTGCGTCTAATGCTAACACCGACTAATGCTTCCAGTATTGGCCAGCAATTGGTTTGTTAATCTATTCTCAACAACCTGGGCGACTCTCTTGCCCGTGGCTCATTGGGTGAACCGTGTGTGACTCAGCGGGCCGTGTATGGCTCAGTGGGCCGCTTGTGACTCAGTGGGCCCGGCTCTAGTGACAGTGGGCTGCGTGTGGCTCTGGGCCGCCGGTACTGACCTGGAGTCGCAGCCCTTGTACCACCAGCCGCCCTTGTGGTTGAGCGCGCAGCTGTCCTCCTTCCACAGGTCGTTGTCCACGTCTTTGGTGGAGAACTTCATACCGGCGTGGTACTTGAGCGAATCACCTGCAAAGGGTACGGAGGGCACAAATCACAATCGGCCTTGTCTTATATTCACTACCATAGAGATGCCAACTAAATTATAGTTGTCCGGTTCTAGACTCTTCTAGTTTCTGATCATAGGCTATCACGTGGCAATGACACAGCCTGCAGATCACCTTCGGCACCCTCCCCGGGCCGTATTTCGGCCCCGTCCCGCCCGCCCGTCCGTCGCCACGTACCGGCGTCTCCGGAGTAGTTGTCGAGCACCTTCAGCGCGTATCCCTCGGTCTCCGCGCCGATGGCGAACGCGCCGTAGCGGGCGGTGGCGTTGGAGCCGGGGTAGTCCTGGTGGCCGGACCGCTGGCGCGGGAAGTCGGACAGCTCCACGCGGAGCTCGTTCAGCTGGGGAGGGGAGGGGAGGGTGTTAGTCGGAAATTGTCGGTCTTCGTACATCCTGACATTGGGTTTTGCCGACGTGGCTATATGGTGCATAGTGTTTTCTCACCCGATGGCTGGTCAGTAGGTGGATGTTCTCGTTCCCCAGCCAGAACTCCCCGGCCAGGTTCCCGAAGCCGTACTTGTACGAGATCCAGTCCCGGAAAAAGTCCTCGTCGCCGTTCGTACGCCGCTGGATCACCTGAACCACAAACGGGGGGTTTGAGCTGGTGCTCACTTCTATCGGATGCCTGAATATTTGGTTGTCTGCTACGCATGCAAGGATGTGCTTATTTTCCGTGGTCTTATACTGGTCTCGACTCCAAAATCGTCGACTCCGACGATTTTGTCTGCGTTTCTAGATCTCGCATCCGTTTATCCTTGTTCACACCCTACCTCAGCTCCCTTCTCTCACCACTTCTCGCATCCCCCTGCTCTCGCCATACTTACCTCGCCTCCCGCCCCATGCCGGACTCACCGCCCATCCGCCGCCGTCGGTCTTCTGGTCGCAGTAGACGAAGATGGGCTGGGTGGCGTGTCGCGGCCGCACGTGGTAGATGCCCGAGGTGGCGCCCTGCTCGCCCGACAGCAGCACGTCCGAACAGTCGGCCGGCAGCGACTCGTCACCTGCCGGCAGTAGCACGGACTCGATCACCGACTCAACTGACTCAGCTGGACAAAGGACATTGACTCAGCCGACTACTCGAGCGGCACAGTCGGCGTCGGACGGTCCAGCATCAACGTGAACTTGAGTTCCCCATTCAGCTGCAACGCTGATTAATGTAGGGTTTAGTTTCAGACGTAAAACTCCAAATGCTGATAGATACTGTAGTTTTCCAGGCTGATTTTTTTCTTCCATAAATCTCCAAGTGTTCATCCGTGGAGACCCTTCCGAAGGGTTCCTATTCCCTCTACTATCTTCCTCGTCCTCCGTCCGCGCCCACACAGTCACACCCAGGGTATATTGAGACTAGAGACAGCTTTACCCACCTGTGGAGGCGGTGACGGTAGGCCGCCGCTGTTGTCGGTCCAGGTAGGCGCGCATCTCGGTCAGACTGGTGGCCAGACCCACCTTGGTGGCAAACTGCTCGGCCTGCTCGCTCAGCTCACTGTCACAGACATACACGGGCAGTGAGAAATGGACGCAGGCATAGTCAATTACTGACTATTAGCGGCGGAGACAGACATCGACAAGACACTGAGACAGGTCGACAGGCGCAGGGCCGGAGATGCCTTTGAAATTAAATACCAAATCGATATATGCCTGAGTAGGTTTCACGTTTCCGTGATGGTGTGTTCCAATATATCTCGGCTGCCTACAGAAGTTGTGTCGCACATTTACTTATACTGGGTGGGTATTTAATGCATTGACGCAGTTTTACTCACTATAAGAAGTGATCTAATGTGAGTACACTCTGAAAATTGATAGTTTATTTTTTCCGTTGTGCCCTAGTAGAGTGTTGTCGTTCTAGCTACCGCGGCGAGTGATTTACGACTGGATGAATCATGTGTTCTGAGTGTCGTCCGTCTTCAGTTCGGTGTATAATGTACATTCCCTGTGTATAACAGTGTCCCCCGCGCCGGTAATATGTTCTGACGTGCAGTTCGGACGGGCGGGGTGGGGACGTGACTCACGCCGACCTCGCGAACCCACTCGGCTGTCCGCGGCTGAAGGGTCCCAGAGCAGTGGGGGCCGGCTCAGTTTATCCTAATGAAGGACCGCTGGCTGCCGATCGCATCATACTTTACCGAGAACGGCCTCTGAGTGCCTGAGTGGTCCCGCATCAGGGCGGGGACGGCCACTCACAGCGGGGGACGGCGACTCACAGCGGGGGATGGCGACTCATAGCCAAACACTCCACCACCGGCTTATAGCCATCGACCCTGTTCAAATTTGCATAAGTACTACGGTGGATTAACGCCGGGCGCATTTAGATCGAAATCCAAAGTTTGCATATCGTCGGTGCTACTCCCTCTG